ACGTCCGTCAAGTGCAGTCGACGTTAACCACCTCAACCCTCGTGGGAACGGTGGCAGCGGCTAGCGGCGAGGCGCAGTTGTGTCTGAGCACGTTGGCTTCACTCTCGCCCCTGGGGTGTGACGAGCGGTGGGTGGCCAGTGAACATGCCAACACTTTGGGCCATCGTTTCCAACTACATTGCGAACGTTGGTCCAACGTCGCATGTTTACTGGGAAGGTGGCCGATAATTTGTTTGAATGTTTACCGGGGGAAGTGGCACGTGACAAGTAGCCGCAGACAGTGTCGGATTCAGCGAGTGCGGGGCCTGTAAGGGGCCCAAGTAAAAAAAAGCACGTAAATATTAAAACACACGTGTTTTAAATTTTGATTTGAAGCTTTCGTGACTGCAGGGATTCATATTCTTTGTTCTTTCGGTAAAGTCACGTAGAAGGGAAACAATAAAATAATATTTTTTTATTGTTTTATATTTTTATTATTTTATTGTTTCCCTTCTACGTGACTTTACCGAAAGAACCAAGAATACACATGTTTTACTTGCACAGTAAAGTAATTGCATTTTTCATTTGCTATGCAGCCAGATAATAGGACAAATCGCTAACCTTAAACACCCAGTCGTTCATAAAAGTTGAAGGCATTAGAGTACTATAGTAATAGAGCAAGTGCAGAGTCACTGAAGCGGAATTGATAGCTTGAAAGCGTTTAGCGTGGGGCCCTTAACTGTGCAGGGCCCGTAGCTACTACATGTGTAGATACTACATGTGTAGATACTACATGTGTAGATACTACATGTGTAGATACTACATGTGTAGATACTACATGTGTAGATACTACATGTGTAGATACTACATGTGTAGATACTACATGTGTAGATACTACATGTGTAGATACTACATGTGTAGATACTTTTGCGACGAGGATAATCCGGAACTTGCCGCAGCCATAGCGAGCTGTATACATTACTGGATGTGGCTTGCGTATTGTTCTACATTACCCATAAATTGGGGACTCATTTAAAATCGCATTGTTTACAACCAGGGATGGGTGAATATTTTCCGGGTCGCTGGTAGGCTTGGAGGTGATACTCGTATTCTCAGCCATAGCAAGAGGCATACTGGATATGGTGTGCCGGTGGATACATATTTCTGTATTGGTTTGATGTAAATACCATAACCAGGGCTTAATATATCACTGAATATGCTGTGTGTAGACCGGGAAGAGGGTACGTGCTAAGTAGCTTTCGCCATAGAGGAATATTTCCCAAGTTAAACATCCCAATGTATTCAACCCGGAGCTATAATTTCTAAAATGATCACCGACTAATTTTTGCGGGTATAGCCTGGTACATTGGAAGGTGGCACGCGAATTGTAATAAGCGCAGCCATGGGGAGGAGATCCCTGTTTGTATCGAATGCGGTGTGCTGGGTGCAGAAATATTCGAGACGGAAATAACCGAATGATTTTGCACCCCACAACGCTCCCACAGAGAATGCCTTCTTTGCATTGACTTTGCTGTACGAGGCTGACATTTATCCCATGAGGCAAAGTGGGGGCTTTGTCGGTACCACCTGGCGTGGACATGCTACTAGTGTCCTCCGTGGGCAGAATGATTTTAAGTGCACGTATTTAAATTTTGATTTAAAGCTTTCGTGACTGTAGGGTTCATATTATTGGTTCTTTCGGTAAAGTCATGTAGAAGGGAAATAATAAAAAATATATTAAAAACATAATAAAATTCTCACGACGAGGTGATGATGATTGCTTGTGTTGCAGTCGAAACGTCGTGAGAATTTTATTGTTTTATATTTTTAGTTATTATTTTATCGTTTCCCTTCTACGTGACTTTACCGAAAGAACCAAGAATATGTACGTATTTAATTGGTCTGTGGACATACAGTACTTCTTGAACTTCTTTCGCGCCGTACGTAGCCAACTACGTGTAAATACTTCCTGTTTCCTTTCATATTCCGTTGAGGTTCCATAGCTCATTCGTTGTTTCTTCCCCAAAAAACAAAACTGGTTTGTAATTTTAAGAGATGACGCCTTAAGAAAATATTGTCCCGATAAGCTATTTTTGGGCCAATGGCCCAGTGACCAATTAAGAAGTCATATCCTTCGTGTGTACAACGCGGGAGACGTCATCTGCTGACGAGAGATGTGCTAAGGACGCTTAGAGGATTGAAGCTGAGCTGTGATGTTCACTGTGCAATCATGCGCAATTCCTTGAATTCTTCTTAACATTGTTGTCAGGACGTGACACCGCGGGGTATCTGCAATGGGCAGCTGCGTAACCGGGGGTAAACAAAACACCACCAAGGTCAGAGTCAATGTAAAAAACAACAACCTTGAATATGACGTTTATCGTCAAACAATAACGATACGGTTTCGATTTAAAACTTTCGTGACCGCAGGAAATCATATTATTTGGTTCTTTCGGTAAAGTCACGTAGATCGAAACGTCGTAAGTTGTTTCTATTTTGTTGTTTTCTACCCTCCTGATTTTACCGAAAGAACCAAAGAATATGAAATAACGACACGATCTGCTTAAATATGGAGGCAACGGTGGCGAGATGATAACTACCTCGCGTGGTATACACGAGGTCGTGGGTTACATCCCGTGCCTGATTCCTGTACATTTCGAATTCGCAATTTCTCTCCCGGGTGGATTTTTCTCCGGGTCCTCCGGGGTTTCCCTCCATATTCAGAATCAACATCACCACGCATTTAGGGTACATGGCTGTCAAATATTTTCACATTATAAGCCACTTCGTTGGGCTATCATTTGTGACCAGGCCGCTTCTGAAAAAGACCTATATAGCTCAGCGGTGGGCATTGCCTGCTAAAGTAATTAGTTGTTTTTAGTTTATATCGTGCATTTTTGTTCTCAAGCTCACCCCCGATGTACGTGGGCTTGGTGAGTCATTTACTTAATTATCCAGAGTCCTGCTGAGTAGTGGAACTTTTTTTTTACCGAGCCTGCATTTTATTAAAAAAAAATTCAGCCAATTAATGAGTCTTTACATATTCAATAGGGAGGAAACGCGCGAGGGTTGTGCAACAAGGGATTCGCACAGATAGATGGCTGGTGATGATTATGATAAGCTAAATAAAACGAGTATCGATACGATATGATTTGTTTCTATCATGCTTCCTTGCTAGAGCTCTCATGCCCCTGTTTATATGAAGAAACGCTGCGACGTTTTTCGATTACGTTGTACGGAATGGGTTTCGCATCACATCAGCGTCAAGCTAGAGGCCGCCGCATTCACCGCGATGTTTAGAACTGCTCTTTGTGTGTCGTTTGTTGTCCTTCCCCGCACGTCCGATTAGCACGGTTGGCTACGTACGGTGCGAAAGAAGTTCAACATACATACAAAGGATGCTCGATCCTTGAATCGAATGGCTGCAATTTATAGAACCGTATTTAGCATACAAACGGAGTCACGTTCATTTACATTTGTATGCGCAATATATTATTAACGCGATACTACCCAATTTAATGAACATCGGCATACGACCAAATCACCAGGAATACACCCAATCTCACCACATCTCGGAAGCCAGACTGGCTCATCCCTGGATAGTGCCTGGATGGACAACCACCACGAACAAAAACAGGAGACGTAGGATAGCTTGCACATGGTTACGTTGTCAACAGAGGGGAGTGTAGCAAAATCCATTGTTGCACTGTACTATGCTCCGTCTATGCGCCTCGCCTTCACCAACGAGCATGATCGACGCGGCCCTTGTGTGAATAAACATCACCCCGTTAGATCTTAAGAAGAATTCATACGCTGAACTGGCTTTGTGCTTGCGTGATGTTGATGTATTTATATAAATTTAATCTCTTGGACGCCCTACACACAGACACACGTCTGGCACGTCATGTTGGTGAATTTATATCGACTTGGACAGATGTCAGCTATGATGTACAATTCCGTGTTTTGTTTGAGCTATGTGAGAGAGAGCTGCTGTGTAATGGCGATTCTGTTCATACCCTCACGACGTCTATTTGATTAATTTGTTGCGATTCTGTACCGAGGGTTCCATAAAAAACTGTTGTTTTCATTGTTATTTAGTGTTATATTCACTCCATGAACCGAAGTACATTTTTTAAAAACCCAACGACGTTTCTAGCAATGGCCCTTATTTGCGGCATAGCCCTAAGTGTAACATGAGCTGATCATAAATTTCATTAAAAAAATATATTGGACGTTGAGTGTTGATATTAATCCACGCATTATTTCCTCTTCTCGAATGAAATGTGTATTAAACAAAACCTTGACACTTATGTAAACGTACCACCCCTCCACTGCTGGCTCTTACGGTCTGACGATACTTTAAACTACAGAATGTCTTTAAACTACAGAATGTTATATTCCTGCATCACACCATGGCGCCCACATTTATGTGCGTTGGCCTTAAAATGGGAATGCCAGAAATGTCCCGTTTTATTTGAAGTGACATCTTTAAGGTCGGGTCTTTGATGTGGGTAGATTTAAGTACGCTGCACGTTTTCTATTTTAAATAATGCAAACGGTTAATAAGGTGCACAGCAAGTCCCCCCCCCCCAAATACCCAATTATCACTGAATGTTTGTACCACAGGGGTCTTAATGGTGAGAATGAAGGCTTGATGGCAAGGTTTTGAATGCGTCTTATTAAATGTGCAGAAATATAATCAGAGCTATCTAGTTAATGTCAGCATTTCAAATTCCCCTGTACGTACCATGTATTTAGTAAAATGCAACTAGTCTCGTTCCATCGACGCGACACAATTTATCGAGTCAATGCCCTGAGACAATTGTCACACGTGTATTGAGCGCCATCTGCCGGACCAAATTGAAACCGAACACCCTGGTTTATTTTTTAGAATGGGATTTGATCAACACAAAGTGCAACAGCTTCGGCGCTGCGCACGTGTGGGACCGCGAGCGATTAATGATGTGCGCATAATTTGCTACCCACATTAGACCTTTTACAAATTGAGATAAAAACCCAACTGCAGATTTTTTTTTATTAACAACGTAAGAAAATACCAGTACACGCAACGTAGCTCACTAAAGTGGAAATGCGAAAAATATACACTCGTGCTTTGCCAAGCATTTAATAGAGGGATAAGCGACCTAATAGGATTTAGCATGCATTCCTGACAATCGCACATTTACAATTATACTCGTCTCATCGTATACCGCAGGTGAATTGCTCTCCCAAATGTACCACCACACAGCAAAAAAAAACGGAAAATGCTTCAATTACGGAAACAAATACCTGCATGTTTTATTAAAAGCGTAAACATGTTGTGTAACGCATGCAATGTATACATGAGTTTTTCGTGACTGCAAGAGATTAATTGCTGGCTAGTGGAATTAGTTGTGTACATACTGTATATGAAATGCCAATGACAATTATTATCAATGCAAATCATGAATCGTGACCAAGTAGCCGTCAGCTGCATGTTAATTATGTGATTTCAGATATACTAAACGTGGAAAAAAAGCACTTGTATATTTGATTTGCAACTACAAAATACAGCATACAGAACACCACAATGGATACACAAAGATAAAAGCATATAGAATGGACATTTTACGTCTAAGAAATGTGGCAAATTGCCTGCGAGCATTCTACTGGTAACTACGGCAGTTTTTATACAAGCACTTCTCAAACGGTGATGTGGTTAACATTATCCTAGTAGGAAGGCTGCACTCTGCACACCAAGTGTGAAGGAGCACGTACGATGACGAAGAGAGCTACACCAAAAGACTGACCTTTTCGATTGACGTGACATTAATAAAAGCTATTCAAATCATGGTAAGTGTTTATATGCCCTGCAAAGCTGTACAACTGACAATAGGAAGCTGGGGCTAAAATACCACCAAAAAGCACAAGTCAGATCTAACGGTTAAACAGCATAATATGGTCATTTTTTTAATTATTCATTAGACTTAATAGACTATCTGAAAAGCAATTAAAGTTTTACAAAATCCAAATTTATGTATCTGATAAGTTTAAGCAACTTAAATTTTGATAATACAGCAGTTGGCATTATAAGCGTATTCACCGTTGAAGGAAACAATTTTGCTACGTTTATTGCATGTCATTTGGTGTAATGTTAGCAATTGTATAAGACCACACGGATCAACATCTGCAGTATAAATATGGACATATCTTCTTTTGATATTACAGTAACTTAATATTTGGTTCAACTACTGTACCAGCACAGTCCAAGGAAACATTAATCAGGCAAACCCTGAACGAAGATTTGTCAGAAGTGGTTTACCTGGAATGTTTTTAAAAGAAAACTCGGAAAATATTTGCGAGTTGCTTTTTTTATTTGGGCATTGCCAAACTCAACATAACCTTGAACTGTGCTGTTTGTAACCCTTTTATCGACATATCTTTACCTAAAGATAAGCAACAACCCAACAGATCATTAAAATATTACAGTAACACACAGATGTATCCAAATTAAATCAATATATATCTTGCAGATGCCAGCCAAACATTTTTTTTTGTTCCCCAAAATGGACACTTACCCGAAGCATCATTCTCAAAATTAAAAAGAGTGCTGTCGTTAAAAGGGTTAACTCTGTTCCCCTAAACCAAAGCACCGGTGCCCCATCGCTTGTGACAGCTCCCCGCTCTGTCCGTGTGCCGTCACCGCCCTCACAGCTTCAGCAACCGCCTCCGAGCTGGCGTGCCACAGCCCTTCCGCCGATCCGTGTTGCTCCTTGAGTTGAGGAGATGCCCGTACTGGGCCCTGTGCACCTCCACGGGCCGGCGATCCCTTCACATGCTGCACAACACAACCCGGGTGGACCCCACAGCAAAGTAAGCACTTAATTTCATTCCAAGGAAAAACGTTCTACACAAACAGGACTCACGAATTGTTGGAAAATGCATTATATAACCCACGATTTAAATAGGTAAAATTACATTTGATAACGTACATGTACAACAGCCTTTGTTAAACAACTGCTTGATGAAGAACCTCCCCTTGCAATGTTGGTTCAGGGGGTTATTTTGCCATATATACCCATGATGATCACCGTGAAGATTTGTGAAGGCTAGGAGCATAGACATGAGAGCATACACATATTTCAGTGCAATTAATTTTAAACTTGGTGGGGGGCTAATGAAACCAGTCAGTTTGCAAGGTTGACTTGGTACAAAATAGGGTACACACTACTAATTTGTAGAAAAGAACAACCGTACAACTCTAAACAATTCAACAATATTATAGTTTTGATTTGGTAAATATGAGCTCTGGCCTATACAAAAAATGCATATTATCAGCATTACAAGTTTTGCAACTTGTAGCAATCTTGGCAATTGCAGCTTCCAAAACAGAACCAAATTTGACTACGTAAGAGCCTATCCATATTCACATTTCTTTACATGGAGACCTCTCGTGTTAAGAGCTACTTGAGTGCCATGGCAGCAGAACATTCCTTGGGCCAATACAGTCAAGTGTCCCAGTTGGTATAAAACATGTACAATTATGATAAGGGTTTTTTCCAGATTTTAAGCTTTCGTGACTGCAGGAATTAATATTCTTGGTTCTTTCAGTAAAGTCACGTAGTTAGAAATAAAATAAAACATATCACGATGTTTCAATTGCAACACAAGCGGTCGTCATCATCATTTTTGCCTGATGACGACTGATTGTGTTGCGATCGAAACGCAATTTGTTTTATTTTATTTCTAACTATGTGACTTTACCGAAAGAACCAAAGATTATAGGTTTTTTCCCCCTTTTACTGGCAACAAAACTGAAACCTTTTTACGAGGAATCATGTTTACATTAACCACAATACCTGCGGTCAGAATGCAAAAAATATAATATATGCGTTGTCCTTGAAATTGATTGGTCCACACCAGAGACAGCTTTTCTTAGAGCCTAGTCTCATACGGTGTTCGACCAGATGACACCAAAACGCGCACAACTCAAAGGCAATGCACTATCAGAGTAATGAGGGCTCGGGGTAAGCATTTACATCATGAGGTCTCCTTTGCCAGTAACAAAATATAACATGTTTTTTCCCGTTTTTTCTGGCAACAAAACTGAAACCGTTTTGGTACTGGCAAAGGAGGCCTCATGATGTACAATTATGCTAAATGAACACATGTATTGTTTACCTACGTAGAATGGGGTTGAAGACAGACGTTGAATGTATGTTTTAATAGCTTAAGGTAATCCATTTACTTGCCAACTGATTCACGGACTCTCAGACAAGAAACATAACTAATTACACCAGTGTGTGTGTAAAAGCTGAAAATGAGCACGGCTCATCTACAACCAGGATAATTTGACTATAGATTATTCAAGTTTCATTTATTAGGTATAACCCTGTGAGCCATGCGGCTCTTGAGTCAGGTGCAACCGCAACAAACAAAACATGAACAGAGAAACATCTTAAAGTGACGACGCGCAACAGAAACATCCTGGATAAACCAGAAAATCTTTACAGAAAAAAACCACCCTATTACAACGCTGTGTGCAAAAATCCCAATTCATAGCTAGATGTATGGCAACTTGTACCAAGTGATGATGAGGAGGTCGTCCAGGGCTGGTCCTGTATCCGGCAGCCTTGGTGGTTCCAGGTGGGCGGCCAGTGCTGGTTCTGTAGCCTGCTGCCTTGGTGGTGCCAGGTGGGCGTCCTGTGCTTGTCCTAAAGCCCGCAGCTTTGGTGGTGCCAGCAGGACGGCCTCGCTTTCTGGTTAACAAATAACAAACCCAGCTCATACCTTGTGGCATATTGCATTGCCAAGATCATGGCTTCTATTTACTTCCTGGAAATGTATGTCTTATGTATTTTCTACTTCAGAGATTAAAGGTAGAATACAATCAGCATATTAATTCATATATTTGCACTGCCCTCAACTATATTTGGGTTAATCTGAATTTAGGTTTCCAAAATTACCCTTTCACGCCCGTAATTTGAACAACCCTTTGACAAAAGTCATGGCTACATAGCCAGTGGATCAATTGCATGAATCACTCATTTCTAAGAGCGTCTTGCTAAATACATCGCAATGTAAAGCACACTTTTGATTGAAAACGAAATCAATTCTAAGCTGTCACTAAGAATCGCCATGGAGGTCCAGTATCTCTTTTGTAAGTCAGACTCTTTTCGAGCCAAATACAGTAAACCCGTCAAGGGCATATACACAAACAAAAAAAAGGGGTGACCACTTACTTGGGTGTGGCTGTGGGAGATGTAGACTTCTTGGGAGTGCGAGCCTTTTTCCCAAGTGGAGTCTGTGGCTGTGGCTGGTGTTGGTGATGTTGCTGAAGCAGCGATGGCGGCGGTGGCATTAGACCAAAGTCCCCGTTCTCTGGTTGGTAAGCGCTGGCAGCCATCAACCCAACCTGCTCCGGCACCGACAGCCGGGACCCATTCTCTAGGCCAAAGTCCCCCAGGAACCCCGCCATCTATACAACGTTTGCAGGTGTTGAGGGGGGGGAGGGACAGCAGGGTTTGGCAAAGTGGGAGAGGTAGGGTTTAGAATGGGAGAGAAACGAGTGGAGATGAATACGTTATTGTAAACAAACTAAACATTTATTTAACCAGGTAAAGCCCACTGAGCTATATTATTTTTTTGCAGAAGATTCCTAGCCACAAATGATGAGTTCAACCAAGTGGTTTATCATGCGGGGATTAAAAAAAATGTATAGCAGCCAAATACTCTAAACGCGTGTTGTTTCAAAATGTGGAGGGGAAAAACCGGAGGACCCGGAGAAAAATGCACGCGACCACGGGGAGAACGTGTTAACTCCAAAATATACAGCGCGTTAGAGTCGGGATGGAACCTACGACTTCTTGCATACCAGGCTGGGGAGATAACGTCTCACCACCGCGTCCCATTACAAACCAGTGACTTCAACTACGCTTCCTGCACGCATCCGAATAGTATAATCTTGGATTTTTTTTTAAAACCCTTGTTGAGATGTCGCGTACAAAGTCACGCCTGGACAGTTCAGTTGACTTGGTAACACTGAAACGAATTGCAGGATGCATAATGCAGTGCAGTATACTCAAAACAAAATTGTACACTGCAAGAGCACATTGCAGATCCGTCTCCAACTACTACAGACCACATTTTACAATAAATTAAAACGCTCGACAAGACATAAATCTAAATATCAAATGAGTCACCCACCATGCCTGACAGCAGAAAGCTACAAGGGGCTACACGCTTTGGACGAGGTGACTAAGGGGAACGAGTTCTTTCCTTTAAAGTGTACATTTAATAGATTTCCCTTTATTCTAAAGGGCTATTTCTCGAAACATTTGCAGTTTATGTTATAGGCCGGTGCCGAATTGGGATTTTGATCTGTGCACGTGCACGACTGCTATCGGAAACCATTAACGTCCTACGCCATGTATACAACACAGTGCACACTGAAGGAGTGCAACACGTAAACGCAGCATTCAAACATGCGTCCAGGACTAAGAAAACGAACACATTTAATGCACTTCCTGCCAATGCTACATATATGTTGCTCCACAGTACAGTGCTGAACGTTACGGAATACAACATGCACGTATTGGTAGCAGCACGCCTCCTGCAATACCCGTCACGAACAGATGACTTTGATCGCAAACCTCTTCGTCACTCACTAGAAAATAATAACAACCTTCAATGGAATTAGCAGAGGCAGTAAAATAACAGAACGTCGCAAACACAAAAGAGTCTCCAGTCGACACGAGTACGACCTCAGAGCGTAGGCCTCGGACACACGGTGTCGCTGCTTTAAAGAAATGTGTACAACACAAAAAAAAACCTCCACCACCCCCACCACCACAGTTGAATCATTAATAATTTAAAAAGTCGTCCATTTGCACTCTGCTCGTTGTTGTATATCGCCGTTACCTTAACCCCGTCGGTCATTAAATCGCGCTAAACGGAATTAAAGTTAAGAGCCACAGGCTGAGAACTTGCGAGGCCGCCTCAGCCTTGACCAGGCCCCGCGCCAAAAAAACAACACCAACCCCTCTCCGCGTTAGGCGCTGGCGCCTCCTCCTCCTCCTGCTCGCGAATCATTAATTTCGCCAATTCCCGTCATTAAAAACGGAGGGGGGGTAGGTTACAAAACCGGTTTCCGACAGAGGCGCGCTGGGGGGGGGGGACACAAACGACGCCTCCTGAAGCTGCACTTTTACCGCGACAAACCCCCCCCCAACAAACACACGCACGCACGCGGTTCCAACAAGGGGTGTAATGATTTACGCGTCTTGTCGAGGCGAGACAGCGCGGGCCCCAGGCCTCGACAAGGAGGCCTACGATTTTGCTTGCGGCCGCCGCCGCCGCAACGACTTTGCGATCGTCAACTACAACAACGACGACGACGACATTGGGCGATTATTAAAAAAACACAACGCTTCCCCCCGGGAGACTACGGAGGGGACGACGATGAAATCGGGCCGAAAAATGCGTTTGTTAATAAGAGGAATAATAATAATTAAACACGAGGGAAAAAAATCCACCCCCACCACCACCACCGCATGCAGTCTCCACCTTCCCCGATCGCCACCAACGCCCCCTTCACGACGCCTCCCCCACCCCAACACCGCCGGCGTTGACGATCGTCGCAGCAGCCTCCTCCTCCTCCTCTGCCGTACCGTCTCATTCCGTGCACGTCTCTTTATCGAACGCAAATCCGCGTGGCGTCCTCGATATAACCACGTTAACGCAGCCGCCACGGGCAGTGCTTGAGAGGGTGCGCGGGGAGGGATGTGTGTGTGTGTGAGTGAGAGAGGAGCAAAGGAGGTGGTGGTTTGCGGGGTGGGGGGAAAGAGAAGAAGGAAGAGGTGGAGAAGGAGGAGGAGGAGAAGGAGGCTGCAACACACAAACGCGAGCGCCGCGGTGTCCAGGCCGGGGGAGTGAAGCAGCAGCAGCAGCAGCAGCTCAAGGCGGGGAGTCTCTCTCCTCTCTCTCTCCTCTCTCTCTCTCTCCCCCTCTCTGCCGTGTCCACGTCTTCCTCTCCTCCTCCTCCTCCACCCCTCCACCACCACCTCCTTGTCTTCTCTCTCTCTATGCCCGTGGTAATTTCTCGTCTCGCTTTGCTCCCCCCCACACACACACACACACCCCAACTTTGCCTCTCGCAACGTCTTCACCGTCCCCTCCCGGAGAACCCTTTTTTTGTCCCTTCTTATATATATTTATTTTTTTACCTGGGGGTTCTTAAAAGGCGCCGGGAGGAGAAAGGGGGGGGGGGGGGTGTCCCGCAATGGTTACAAAGCGTGCGAGCGTCGGAAGCGAGAGCGGCTGAGTGCGGGAGGGGAGAGGGAGGGGAGAGGGAGGGGAGCGGGCGAGAGGCCAACGGGGAGGCGGTGGGGGGTGGGGAATGGCAGAGGAGGGGCGGTGGTGGAGCTGTCTCCCCCCTCCCACTCTCCTCCCGTGTGTGTGTGTGGTGTAGGTGGTGTGTGTGTGTGGTATAGGTGGTGTGTGTGTGGTATAGGTGGTGTGGTATAGGTGGTGTGTGGGTGGTGTGTATGGTGTAGGTGGTGTGTATGGTGTAGGTGGTGTGTGTGTATGGTGTAGGTGGTGTGTGTGTGGTGTAGGTGGTGTGTGTAGTGTAGGTGGTTTGTGGTGTAGGTGGGGTGTATGTGTGTGGGGTAGGTGGTGTGTGTGCTGTAGGTGGTGTGTGTGTGGCGTAGGTGGTGTGTGTGTGGTGTAGGTGGGGGCGTGGTATCGGTGGGGTGTGTGTGTGGTGTAGGTGGGGTGTGTGTTGTAGGTGGTGTAGCTGGTGTGTGTGTGTGGTGTGTGTGTGTGGTGTAGGTGGTGTGTGTGGTGTAGGTGGTGTGTGTGTAAGTGGTGTCGGTGGTGTGTGTGTGTGGTAGAGGGTGTGGATTGTGTGTGTGGTGTAGGTGGTGTCTGTGGTGTAGGTGGTGTGTGTTGTAGGTGGGGTGTGTGTGGTGTAGGTGGGGTGTGTGTAGTGTAGGTGGTTTGTGGTGTAGGTGTGTGTGGTGTAGGTGGTTTGTGGTATAGATGGGGTGTGTGTAGTGTAGGTGGTTTGTGGTGGAGGTGTGTGTGTGGGGTAGGTGGGGGTGTGTGTGTGCTGTAGGTGGGGTGCGTGGTATCAGTGGGGTGTGTGTGGTGTAGGTGGGGTGTGTGTGGTGTAGGTGGTGTGTGTAGTGTAGGTGGTTTGTGTAGGTGGGGGTGTGTGTGTGTGTGGTGTAGGTGGGGGTGTGTGTGTGCTGTAGGTGGGGTGTGTGTGTTGTAGGTGGTGTGTGTGTGTGGTGTGGGTGGTGTGTATGGTGTAAGTCGAGTGTGTGGTGTACGTGGTGTGTATGTGGTGTGTGCGGTGTAGGTGGTGTGTGTGGGGTTTAGGTGGTGTGTGTGTGTGTATGGTGTAGGTGGTGTGTGAAGGTAGGTGGTTTGTGGTGTAGGTGGGGTGTGTGTGTGTGGTGTAGGTGGTGTGTGTGTGGGGTAGGTGGTGTGTGTGTGTGGTGTAGGTGGTGTGTGTGTGGTGTAGGTGGGGTGTGTGTGGTGTAGGTGGTGTAGCTGGTGTGGGTGGTGTGGTGTGTGTGTGGTGTAGGTGGTGTGTGGGTGGTGTGTGGTGTATGGTGTAGGTGGTGTGTGGTGTAGGTGGTGTGTGTGTGTGGTGTAGGTGGGGGTTTGTGTGTGTTTGTGGTGTAGGTGGGGGAGTGTGTGCTGTAGGTGGGGTGTTTGTGTTGTAGGTGGTGTGTGTGTGTGTGGTGTGGGTGGTGTGTATGGTGTAAGTCGAGTGTGTGCTGTACGTGGTGTGTGCGGATGTAGGTGGTGTGTGTGCGGTGTAGGTGGTGTGTGTGGTGTAGGTGGTGTGTGTGTGGTGTAGATGGTGTGTGTAGTGTAGGTGGTTTGTGGTGTAAGTGGGGGGTGTGTGGTGTAGGTGGGGTGTATGTGTGTGGGGTAGGTGGGGTGTGTGGGGTAGGTGGTGTGTGTGCTGTAGGTGCTGTGTGTGTGTGGTGTAGGCGGGGTGTGTGTGGTGTAGGTGGTGTAGCTGGTGTGGGTGGTGTGGTGGGTGTCTGGTGTAGGTGGTGTGTGTGTGGTGTAGGTGGTGTGTGTGTAAGTGGTGTCAGTGGTGTGTGTGTGGTGAAGGTGGTGTGCATTGTGTGTGTGGTGTAGGTGTAGTGTAAGTGGTGTGTGGTGTCGGTGGGGTGTGTGTGTGGTAGATGGTGTGGATTGTGCGTGTGGTGTGTGTGGTGTAGGTGGTGTGTGTAGTGTAGGTGGTTTGTGGTGTAGGTGGGGGGTGTGTGGTGTAAGTGGTTTGTGGTGGTGTAGGTGGGGTGTATGTGTGTGGTGTAGGTGGTGTGTGTGTGTGGTGTGTGTGTGTGGTGTAGGTGGTGTGTGTGTGTGGTGTAGGTGGTGTGTATGTGTGGTGTAGGTGGTGTGTATGTGTGGTGTAGGTGGTGTGTATGTGTGGTGTAGATGGTGTGTATGTGT